CCATTATTCTTGGAAACTTAGCCTTGAGTCCCGTTCTTTATGCCTCCCCGTGACTCTGTAAACCCCGCAATCTTTTGAATAAACTCCTTTATTTAATTATCTAAAGTCATTTTCTGTTGCATTTAACTAAAAACATTGATATGTTCAGCTAGAAAAAAAGTGAGCACAGCAGGACGGCGAGGCACATGTGAAGTTATAATGAGCTCGGAAATTAATATAAGCTATGGTAGTAAGTATGACACATTATTGACTACAAAAATGTGTGTGTGTGTGTGTGTGTGTGTGTGTGTGTGTGTAGAGGATAAAATAAAAAGTCTTAGTATGATAAAAGGAGTGTGGGATTTTTCACTGGGTAGATGCATGACAAAAAATTCTTGCAAAAATTTGAGGAAGAATAGAGAGTAATTACCGTAGAATCTGCTAGGGAAAAAAAGTATAGTTAAAACTTTAATGGTAATCACTAAATCAATGAAAATATAATCATGGCTTCTTCATCAACAGAGAGTAGAAGCAGGCAAGAGGGGTGGATAGAGAAAATTTCATTAATCTAACAATAGGAAGGAAAAGGTAAAAAGAAAAGACAAAAGATGGTAAGTAGAAAGTGTACCATACTATGGGGGAATGAGTCTAAAAATACCATAATCTCAATAACTATAAATGGTTAGACTCATCAGTTAAAAAACAGAGACTATCAGGTAAGATGTTTAAAAATCTAGCTAACACTGTTTATAAGAAGCACATAGAGCAGCACAAAACTGAATAGAAAAGTTTAAATTAAAAAGATAAAAAATAATATACTTTATAAATACTGACAAAATTAGAATAACAATTAAAGAACAAATTATATTTGTTCTTTATATTGTCTTATATATTGTCTAATATTAGACAACATAGAATTTAAGATAAATAGCATTAGTGGAGATAAAGGACACCATATATTACTAAAAAGAACAATCAAACCAGAAAAATTGTATTTTGTTCTTAGCAATACGGCCTCAAAATATACCAAATTTTAAACCATTGAGAGAGATTTCAACACATTCATATTAGAAATTAACATATGAACTATACAAGACAGTAATTAATAACCAGCAAAGGTAAAATATACATATTTGTAGAAAATCTCTCATCACCCCAAAATATAGAAGATATATTCTTTTCCAGAAAAACTGATCATATATTAAAACACAAAGAAGTTGCCAATACATTTCATGGCATCAAAAAAATACAGATCATGTTTGCTAAGGATAATTCAACTAAACTGAAAATGAACAAAAAAGATAATGGGGTAGACAACACTTTCTGCTCTACATATATGGAGATACTTAAGAATATATTTATTAATAACTCACAAATTAAGGAGAAATTTATAATGTAAATTACAGAGTATCTAAAAATGAATAGCATGAAAGTGCTGTGTACCTCAAAACATGAAGGCTGTAGCTAAATTAGTACTTGGGGTTTAGATTATAGCCTTCATGCATGTATTAAAAACAGCTTTAAAAAAAACAAATGAGTTCATTCATTTAAGGTTAAAAAAGAAAAATTACTAAAGCCTAAAAATGTAACAAGAAGAAAATAACAGATATAAAAGCAGATATTAACAAAATGAACAAGAAAGAAACAATAGAAGATGGGCAAAGATCAATTCCTTAATAAGTCCATAAAATAACACTGATCATTAAAACAGGAGAAAAGAGGCACCAACAAGAGACAAGAAATAAAAATGGGGCTATAATGACATTACAGTGAGTTATTAAAAAAAACCCTAAGAGGCTGCTACATGCAGCTTTATGCCAGAAAATTTAAAAGCTTAGTAAAAACAGAAACATTTTGAGAATACAATGAAATGTAGAGACACATTCCACAGTGTCCTAAAAATAACTTAAATTTAAAAATTTTAAATGAAATAAAATAATAAAATTCAGAAAAAACAAAAAGCAGAGAAAAAGGCTGATGGTTTCCTGGTGTCTCATCATTTCATAGAGCAGAGCACTGGGGACAGGCAGATGCTTCTGGATACGCAGAGCGTTCAGGTTCTAGTGAGGGCACCTGCCTCTTCTTGTAATACCTTGTCTGGAGCCAGAGAAAAACCATCAGGTGTGTGTGTATAAACAGAAAAGGTTTGGATGCCAGGCTCTTACAGGATATGGGCCAGCTGGACAGGAATTTTGGAGACTGCACCTGTAGCTTTTGATCTCTCATACCACCCCAACAGGAAAGGCACGCCACCCCCAGGGAGATGGACTTCACGCACAGACTCTCCCACTGAGAAGGGAGAGCTTCAGTCAGTCTGTTGTTAGGCAGCCTACACTTCAGAAGCAACTCTGCTGTTACCAACACTGATTCACAAAGAAACAGGAATTCGCATTAAAACGACACACGCTGGCTGGGCGCGGTGGCTCAAGCCTGTAATCCCAGCACTTTGGGAGGCCAAGGCAGGCGGATCACGAAGTTCAAGAGATCAAGACCATCCTGGCCAACATGGTGAAACCCCATCTCTACTAAATATACAAAAATTAGCTGGGCATGGTGGCGTGCACCTGTAGTCCCAGCTACTTGGGAGGCTGAGGCAGGAGAATTGCTTGAACCCGGGAGGCGGAGGCTGCAGGGAGCCGAGATTGTGCCATTGCACTCCAGCCTAGCACCTGGCGACAGAGTGAGACTCTGTCTCAAAAAAAAGGAAAAAAAAAAAAAAAAAAAAAAGACACGCTGAAAAGAATGAATTAACTTGTAATCAAAAGATTCCTGCTTAAAGAAACACACACACGGTGGGATTGGATGGGTTTATGGTGGATTTTGGCATCCCTTCAAAAAACAACTATCTTAAATAACTGTTTAAAAGATTAAAAAAGGAAGGAAAGCCTCCAAAACTCATTTGAAAAGTCTAGCAAATACCCTCTTCACCAAACTGGACTAGAGAAGTATAAGAAGAGGAGAAGACAGACCAACCTGTCACTGAATCCATAGATAGAATAATCTTCAATAAAATGTTGGCAAATCAAACTCAACATTATATCTTAAAATAATGCATGCTTATTCTTGGAATATATAATTTTCCAAAGCAGAAAAAATTTTATTATAATATTCCACATTAAGAGAATAATGAGAAGAAAACAAAGAAAGATCTCAATAGATGTACTTAGGTGAGTTACCAAAGTCAATACCAATTTATGATTTGGAAACTCTCATGAAATTGGGAAAAAGAAGAAACTTGAAAAGCCTACAGCATCCACTAATCCTAATGGTTGGTGTCTAGAAGCATTAGCACCAAAGTCAAGAACAAGGAAGGGATGGGCTCTGTCATCATGTTGAAACCGCCTTTGCAAAATTATGACTGAGACAGTGAAAGAGATCTGACTTCACTGACTCCATCTTCCTTCCAACCTCCAAGCTGTCCTTGTTCATTCCTGGGCGTAGGCTGAACTAACTTTAGGAGAAACTGAGTTTAGAATGTAAATAGTTTAAAACAAAGGCAGTAATGGACCCTTTCCGAAGAAGCAGACCTCCTTCTTGCCTGGGGACTAGATTGCCTCTGTAGGACAAACAGCCACAAAATTAGAAATTATGGTTTAGGAGTCATGCAGTTGGAGGCTACAAGATTCTGACCCTCTCTAAACTGCTCCTAAGATCAGTGCTTGAGACACTTTGCAGACCCTGTGCTTGATGGATCAGCTGGCATCACTTAGATCAATAAACTGGCTCATCTCATCTTGTGGCCCCACCCAGGAACTGACCCAGCTGTAAGAAGACAGCTTTGACTCCCTGTGATTTCATCTCTGACCAATCAGCACTCCTGACTCACTGGCTTCCTCCCACCCACCAAGTTATCCTTAAAAACTTTGCTCCCTAAATGTTTGGGGAGACTGATTTGAGTAATAAAACTCGAGTCTCCTGCATAGCTGCCTTTGCTTGAACAACTCTTTATCTACTGTAATTCTCGTGTCTTAATAAATCAGCTCTGTCTAAGCAGTGGGCAAGGTGAACCCCTTAGACAGTTACAACGTTCACCAAAAATGTTCTTAGTCACTAGCTAAATACAAAAAGAAAAAGAAATAATATGTATATGAATTTGGAAGGGAAGAGATTATACCATCTTTATTTGCAGATATATGATAGTTTTTTTTAATATAAAATACTTAATGGAACAGTCCAGACATCCTATGAAAACTAATACAGGAAGCTAGGTGTGGTGGTTCATGCCTATAAGTCCAGCACTTTGGGAGGCTGAGGCAGGAGGATGGCTTGAGCCTGGGAGGTGGAGGTTGCAGTGAGTTGTGAGTGCACCACTGCATTCCAGCCTGGGCAACAAAGTGAGACATTGTCTTAAAAAAAAAAAAAAAGTTTGACAAGGTTCTGGATACAAAAGGCAATAGCATTTCTCTATCAATGAATAAAGGTAGAACATGCAATAAGAAACCTCTGGACTTCTGGTCATGGGGAGGAAGTGGTCCAGGATCACCCTCCTACTAGTAGACAACTAGAGAACTGAACACACAGAGCACAGCTTTCAGACACGGAACGACACAAAGCACAGGAGAAGGGGCAGGAAGTGAGATAGCCCCATTTTAGCCTGGAGGTCTACTTCTGCTTGGAGAAGTCCCTGGACTGTGGCTTACGGAGGGGACCCGCACATAATCTAACATTCCTGCTGCATTGAAGATACACACACCTGGAGCTCAGAGACTACAAATATGCTGTAATCTGTGGGCCAGAGAACCTGTGAGAAAGAAGCTATGTACTCTTAAAAGAACTCGGAAATCTGCATGGGGTCCCTTAAGTCTTTGGTTGAAAATCAAACTGCACATGTATAGAATGAAACTCCAAAGGTTGGACAAGAACAATTTCTGAATAAAGAATAATTTATAAGGAGTGATGAGAAAATTCCCAGAACTTATGAGGTACCTGGGACCTTTCAAGTTTCCTCTAGCCAGAGTAGAGAGACTGTTCAACTCACAGGGCTTTATCATTTGCAGTGATACATGACAGAATACCACAGCTGGAGGTGCCAGGGATTGAACCTAGGGTCTCATGTATGCTAAGCACGTGCTCTACCACTGAGCTATACCCCCAGGGCTTTTTAACAGAGACCCTGGCTAGGCTGTGCCTTTTTAAATGGAGCAAAATTAGCTCCGCAATGAAGTTGTCTTTATATCCTTGAAACAAGCCATGGATGGACCACTAATCCACTAAAAAACTGATGGCCAGAAATTTTCCAATCTTCTTTTTTTTTTTTTCAGGCAGAGTCTTGCTCTGTCACTCAGGCTGGAGTGCAGTGGCATGATCTCGGCTCACTGCAACCTCTACCTCCTGGGTTCTAGTGATTCTCCTGCCCCAGCCTCCCGAGTAGCTGGGATTACAGGTGTCCACCACCGCACCAGGCTAATTTTTGCATTTTTAGTAGAGATGGGGTTTCACCATGTTGGCCAGGCTGGTCTCGAACTCCTGACCTCAGGTGATCCACCCGTCTTGGCCTCCCAAAGTGCTGGGATTATAGGTGTGAGCCACTGCGCCCAGCCTGTCCAATCTTCTTTTAAGGAATACAAGAAAATCTAACATTCAATCACATCCAGGAGGAAAGACCCTATACCCCAAGAGAAGCTGCAGGGCCCAGCTGTCTGGCAGTAGCAGCAGAAGTGAGGAGGGCCCTTACAGAAATGGATTCAAGGGCTTTTGATCAAGGGGGCTGGAATGTAAGGTTGGATAAGGAAGACTTAGTTGATTGGGCAGCATTCTCTGTAAATACAGGATGCAATACCATAGCAAGGACTCTGAGTCATGGCATAAATATGCTGTTTGGATGGCTTGTGGGAGCATAAAACACAATGGCCTACACCAAGTAAGGTAGAAATGTCAGCATTTCTGTGGCAGCTGACAGAAGAGAGAAGGGGGTATGCCAAAGGGCATATAGCACCTAAGTCCAGAATACCCAGCAGAGTACTGTGTGCCCAGAGAGGCACACAGAGGGTACACTATTCACCAAGGCTATAAGAAATGTGCTGGTGTGAGAGTCACTAAGAGCAGAGGTGATTCTCCTCTGTTCGCACAGCCTGGTGGTAGGAGATGCTGTTAGAGACTGGACTCACCCACAGCAATGGGAATGACAGGATCCCGAAACAATAGTAGGAAGGTGGTAACACCTCGTCATCAGAAGGCAGGTGGATTAAATTATCCTGAGTGTGTTGGAGGGTAGCAGAGGGGTCTGGCTGGCTGAAAGTGATTGGGATGTTTAACTGAATGTGGCTTTTCAAGGAGAAGATTAGCAGGCAACTGAAAAGGGTAATATCAACCTACACGTACAATCAGAAGAATCAAGAATGATGACCAGGAGGCTGAGGGAATTGATCGTTGTCAAGTAATATCCTTTACCTGGTACCCAGTTTTAGGATTAAAGGGAAGGTCGGCCCCTGAAGAAAGGACCCTGCAACACCATGACAAATGTTCATGAAAATGAGTCAGTCTTTCCCTACAACGACCTATGGCTGTTTACCTTGGTCACTGCGCAGTGGGGACAGGGGAATAGAAAACATCTTAGACACTGTTAGAAACAGCGAAGTCATTGATTAACAATGATATCAGCGTCATGGTACCCTCTCAGGAGGCCACATATTAAGTGGAGTCCTGGCCCTGGTTTAGCTCATGTTACATCAACTTTAACCACAAATACCCGCAGTGGTCATTAGCACAGTTCCTACATTGGTTTCCTGGCCTAGAGATAAGAGCTATTATAGTGGGAAAAATCAAATAGAAACCTCTGAAACTGATCTCACTTCCCCCACCCACACACTAGCCAATATAGTTAAATCAATACCAATATCACATCCTCAAGAGAATGGTAGAAGTTAGTGCCATTCTTAAAGAAAAAGTGCAAGGGGGTGCTTCTCATTACGCTTCCTTGTAATTCGCCAGTCTGGCTCCTATAAAAACAGACTAATCCTACAAGTCATCAGTGAATGACAACAAATTCAACCACGCAGTAGCCCAGTGGCAGTTGCTGTGCCTGGTGTAGTATCTTTACTAGAGCAGCTTGACATAGCCTTAGGCACGTGGTGTGTGGCTATTGAACTACCAAATACATTCTTTCATCCTTATCAGAAAAGCGGATCAGAAATATTTTGCAGTCACTTAGAATGAACAGGAATGTACATTTCCATGCTCGAATAAGGACTGTGTCTACTGTTCTACTCTCTCCTTAATATAATCTAAGAGACACAGGCCTACTAAACACCTTTCAGAACCTTCTATTAGGCTGCAATATGAATCAAGTCATGGTAATTTGACTGGATAAGAGAGAATTAGACTGGGTGTGATGGCTCACACCTGTAATCCCAGCACTTTGGGAGGCCAGGGTGGGCAGATTCCCTGAGTTCAGGAGTTCAACACCAACGTGGCCAACATGGCAAAAACCCATCTCTACTAAAAGTACAAAAAATGAGCCACATGCCGGGCGCGGTGGCTCAAGCCTGTAATCCCAGCACTTTGGGAGGCCAAGGCAGGTGGATCACGAGGTCAAGAGATCGAGACCATCCAGGTCAACATGGTGAAACCCCGTCTCTACTAAAAATACAAAAAATTAGCTGGGCATGGTGGCACGTGCCTGTAATCCCAGCTACTCAGGAGGCTGAGGCAGGAGAATTGCCTGAACCCAGGAGGCGGAGGTTGCAGTGAGCCGAGATCGCGCCATTGCACTCCAGCCTGGGTAACAAGAGCGAAACTCCGTCTCAAAAAAAAAAAAAAAAAAAAAGAGCCACGTATGGTGGCAGACATCTGTAATCCCAGCTATGCGGAGGCTGAGGCAGAATTGCTTGAACCCAGGAGGTGGAGGTTGCAGTGATCCGAGATTGCACCATTGCACTCCGGGCTGGGCAACAAGAGTGAAACTCTGTCTCAAAAAAAAAAAAAGAAAGAAAGAAAGAGAGAGAGAGAGAAAGAGAGAGAAAGAAAAGGAAGGAAGGAAGGAAAGAGGCTAGTACATTGAAGACTTAGGGAAGACATGCTTTCCAGAGGGTGGGAAAGTAAACATAAAGATTCAGGGAGCTGTTATATGGGTCACCATTTTAGGTGACCAGTGGTATGGGGCATTCTAGAAGTTTTACTCCAGGTTAATGAGTAGATTAACATACATTATCCCCCCAAGTACGAAGGAGGAAACGCAACACCTAGAATTTGGGCACTATTGACATAATATTTCTCAGCACATATACTACATACTGGCCAACATGAAAACCTTCCATCTTCCTCTAGACCAAAAAAAAAAAAAAAAAAAAAAAAAAAAAAAAAAAAAACAGAGAGAAAGAAAAGAAATGATGTAATTTATTTAAAACACAGCAAAAAATTCCACTAAAGGAACATCAAAAGATAGATACATTTGATTACATTTAAATGAAAACTTTTGCACAAAGCAAATAAAGTGAAAAGACAAGCTAGACTCAGAAAAGATATTTGCAAGAAATAAAATCAAATAAAAACTTTCAATAAACCAACAAGAAGGGAAAAGCAACATAATAGAAAAATTGCAGGCTGGAGCGTGGTGGCTCACATCTGTAACCTCAGCACTTTGGGAGGCCAAGGAGGGTGGATCACCTGAGTTCAGGAGTTCGAGACCAGCCTGGGAAACATGGTGAAACCCTAGGTCTACTAAAACTACAAAAATTAGCCGGACATGATGGTGGGCACCTGTAATCCCAGCTACCTTGGGAGGCTGAGGCAGGAGAATTGCTTGAACCTGGGAGGCGGAGGTTGCAGTAAGCCGAGATTGCATCACTGCACTCCAGCCTGGACAACAGGGTGAGATTCTGTCTCAAAATAAATGAATGAATAAATAAATAAATAAAATAAAAATTGCAAAGAACATGAATAGACAGTTCCCAGAAGAACCAACTTAAACAGCAAAAAACTTCTATTGGCAAAAATTAACCAAATTGATATGATAATGCATGTGTGCAAATCTAGAGCAACATAAACCACAAACTATACTTTAAAAGATGAGATAGCGCTATCTAGGGAAATAAGCAATATTTACTCACAGGGCCCTAAAATTCAATTTCTGGAACTGCAGCCAAGAGGACTTTTCACATATATGGATGGATAAGGATAAGAAGATCACTAAAGCCATGTTCGTGATGGTAAATAAGAGCTGCCTCCATCAATCAGCAAACATTTATGTAATTGTCACATAGTCATATGATGTATTTACTATATAGTAGCAAAATAAAAATAAATGAGACAGAACTACACATAGTATCATGAAGAAATACAATTTGATCAGAAGAAGCAAATTGCAGAAGGATCTGCAATATCCAGTAGAGATGATGGAGACAATAGTGACAGTAGAGCCCTGGTTATATCTGTGTTCACTCATGAAATTTTTGCAACAGCCCTGTGGGATACACACTTTTATTATTTCAGACGAGGAAACCGAAGCACATTGAGGTTAAATAATGTGTCCGAGAGTTACAGGGCTAGGAAATGACATAGCCAGCGCATCCTGTCAGCGTTGAGTGTATGATACTAACACCAAAGTGTTACAAATATTTTACACTTTAAGTGATCTTTCTAGATGACATTTTAAAGAGGTTGCAGTATTTCACGCTCATACCAGCAAGAAGGAAAGAGTATCTTTCCCTTCACTCTGTATAATACTGGCTTTTATCATCAATAGGTAAAAAATAGACTTCTGGGTTTAATTTGAAATTTTCAGACTCTAAGGAAGTTGCCTACAGAGAATTTGGATTTCTTCTTCTGTATATCACCTGTTCATATTCATTGAGAATTTTTATATTTGATTGTATATGTTTTGTTCCTTAATTTATAGCAGACTTCTTTGTGTTAGATAGATGAATCCTGTATCTATCATATCTTGCAAATTGTTCTCTTAGTCTATAGTATATTTACTCTTCAATGGTTATTCTTGCCATATATACATTTTTATTTTTATTTTTATTTATTTCTTTTTTTTGTTGTTGTTGTTTGTTTTTTGTTTTTGAGACAGAGCCTAGCTCTGTCGCCCAGGCTAGAGAGCACTGGCATGATCCTGGCTCACTGCAACTTCTGCCTCCCAGAATCAAGTGAT